GAAGGAAGGAAGGAAGGAAGGAAGGAAGGAAGGAAGGAAGGAAGGAAGGAAGGAGACAGTTCTCAGAGAAACATATTTAATTCTAGCAACATTTAATAGAAAATAAGAGATATTGAAAAATGAATACACTTACTTCCAAACCTCCTACCCTCCCTTTCAAATATCGCAGTGAATTAATAAAGATAAAGACACTAACTAATAAAATGTTACACAAAATGTAAACTTGATTACAAGCACCCAAACTTGTTTTTAAAGACTGATAATATGGATAAAATGTTGCCAAGTATAAGCAGAAAAAAAAAGAAGACTGAGCAAACAACTCCCCAACAATATCAGGGAATGAAAGATGGGTATAACAAATACAGGCTGGACCCCTGAGTATTGCATAATTCAAAACTAAATGATGTGTACTCTTGGAAGATGTGAAAAGTTCTGGGAAACTATCTGTTGCTAGGATTGAGGTTTCTTCAAAGTTTGTTGAGATTTTGCAGACCAGAGATTTGAAGAAATTATTACTTTTAGAAGGCAGAGTGAAAGGGGACTCAAAGCTAGAGTTCAACTCTTAAATGAGTTCTTTTTCTTTTTGATTATGGAAGAAATCATTTAGAGGAAGTTTACAATTCTTTGCTACTTCTATGGAATCTAATTTAGATTCCTCTGGTCAGTTGATAAGTCCTATGATGAACGTTGTGGACCAGAGTTGGAGATGGGCATGAGCCCACTTGATCTTCACCAGCATCACCAGCATCAGCCACATCTGTGGAGGCTGATGCTGAGCAACATCACACTGCAAGTGATGAAAAGGCCAGTCGTAAAGTGAGTGTGGCCTCCCGAGGAACCGAGGAGGAAGAGCTAGGAACTTTGGTAGATAAGTAGATGGCACAGCCAAATTTGTTATACAACAGGTAATATGAGCCTATATAACTTCTATATTTCATTGTTTTCTACATTTTTCTGTAAAAAGGTAACACACCCAATTGTAAGGTTTACTGCCAGATTACTTTCCAAAAAGATTGAATTCAAGCATTCCTATATCTTTAAAAACACAGGAAATCATTTTTTGTAATTCAGTTCAGTAAGTGAAAAATGACATTTTAAAATAGAGGATATTTTTCATAAGTCTGTTTCATCTACTGTGGAAATGGCTTCTAAATATCAAAGCGTGCTTCAACATTGAAAACAAAAATGTAGAAAGCAGAAAGAACCACTCTCACTCCTCCAGGCAGATTACATGTTTAAATAATTCATGCAGACAAATGGAACCAGCACAGCACAAACAATAGTGGCTAAATGTCTTCACCCCAGAAATTGTGTCTGCTGGGCTCCAAGCAGGGGAACTGAGCTTCTTTACCTTGTGCTGCGCACAGCACCACTGCTGCCATGCCCCAAACCAGGCTGTAGGTAGACAGATGACAGAAGGGCATCCTGATCACCTGAAGACAGAAAGCAAAGTACAGAAATGGGGGTTTGGATTTGGACAAAGCCAAGGAAGCTTCAAGCTCATCGCTATTTCAGGGAATGGTGTAGCTAAGGTTTTACCCCCCAGAGAACTTTGGTTTTGTGGGAGCAGAACTAGAGGTTATAAATGGAGGAAATAACAAAGCATGCCCAAGATATGAGGAGGGAAAAGCAGCAGCATGGCTCCAACACAATAGCAATCCCTGGCAATTTGGGGCCTTGCTCCTAAAGCCACCGTTATCAAGAGCAAGGTCTCAAAGACATAGGATCACTTACAAACTGCCTTAAATAAATACAGAAAATGCTGAGAATACAAATGTTTGATAGCATCCACTTCCCAAAAAATCCACATCTGTTAATATTAAAAATGTAACTCAGTAGGTAACCACTTTTCAGGAACATTATTTGACTGCCTTGAATTTTGTTGAGGTTGATTTTAATTCTGCAAGTCTTATACATAAACTGCATGTTTTAAACACCAGCACTGGTTTTAATTTTTTCCTTCATTGCCTTATGTTCATGTGTCTGGGCAGAAATCCTTGACCTTCTTACAAATCATGAGAGGATTAAAGAGAATGTTATTCTGGGCATCACCCTTCGATAAAACGGTAAGTCAGGGTAGAGGCTGTTGAACTTTTCTCTGCAATAATGCCATGGATCCTTTCATTTGGTCTGTATGTATGCTCATACTAAGGGGCAAAGGCAAGAAATGTAACTTTTTCCTATATTTTTTCTATATTTCTATTTTTCAGAATAGAAATGAGTAAAAAATATAACTTTTATCTGTTTTTAACTGAACTTTATTTTTATTTCATGTTACTATTCCAACTAGAGGTAAGAATTTACTTCCAACCAATGTCGCATAATCTCTGTCAGTTCAGTCTCTCACCACCACAACACCTCATAATTGTCCCAATCTCCAGCATTGCATCTACATTCCTGGGGGTCCACAAAATGCCAAACTATAAGACAGGACTACTAATCACTAATTACCACCATCTATTATGCTAGCATTTGCTAAAATGGCTGTGTTCCCCTCAAGTCATCACTGTCATTAGTTTGTGCAATTATTGCTCACAAGATGAGCTGGTGCTCGCTCATCTTCTTCCAGGCTGTCCCTGGGTTCCCCTTGTGCTGGATGAAAGGAAATTCTACAAGGCTTTCTGCCTAAATTCCCATTGAACATGTTTTACTGTTCACTTGCCATGATGGACAAGCATGCTGCTTCCTACAGTCTCTTTAGGGGACTGTGAGACACAGGTATTATTTTTTTCTTGGATCTCAACAACTACTTGCAGGTTCTATTTTCCAGTGTCCTGAACTTCCCTTGTCTGGGGCCTGGGCCCAGGGCCTTATTTTGGGAATGCAAACTGGTATCTGAGCATAGACATCAATCAGTCCCATTTTGCTGTCCCAGCCTAGAAAATATTTATCTCCCTGAACCAGAAAAGCTGGTTCCTCCATCACGCTGCATTCATCCAATCAACCCTTTCTAGCATGAACATTATATCCTTGGTCTTTTAGCATTTAGTGATTTGAAACTGGAATGCCAAGGCTCTTGGTATTGCAAAATTTTGGCTTCTGAAACTAAAACTTATTTTCTGCTTAGTATTCCTCCTGTAAGGCAATGGATACTTAACTGTCTGATTTGAAAGACCAGAGGACAAAAATAAAGTACTGGAATAAAAAACCACACCAGATGATACATTAAAATAATACTCCAACTTATATTTTGCATAAGGTTACTAAACCACTAACACTAACATTTATTGAACATTTATTATGTACTAGACACTGTTCTTAGCACTTGAGACAAAGTATTTCATCCAATATTTCATATAAATCTATATAGGAAGCACTATTATTACCATCATTTTCAAAATAAAGAATATGAGGCAGAGAGAAGTTAAGTAACTTGCCCAAGGTCACACAGCTATGAAGTGACAGAGAAGGGGTTTAAGCCCAGGCAGTCTGGTTTCAGAGTTCATAACCATAATTACCACACCATCTCGCCTCCTCTATGTATAAAGTTTTGTTGGTTTAAAAATTTTGACATGGCTGGGCACGGTGGCTCACGCCTGTAATGCCAGCACTTTCGGAGGTCAAGGCAGGTGGATCATGAGGTCAGGAGATGGAGACCATCCTGGCTAACACACTGAAACCCCGTCTCTACTAAAAATACAAAAAATTAGCCAGGTGTGGTGGCGAGTGCCTGTAGTCCCAGCTACTCAGGAGTCTGAGGCAGGAGAATGGCGTGAACCCAGGAGGTGGAGGTTGCAGTGAGCAGAGATCACACCACTGCACTTCACTTCAGCCTGAGCGACAGAGTGAGACTCCGTCTCAAAAAAAAAAAAAATTGACACATCATCACAAAAGTACGTTGTTATTGCTGTGACTAAATCATTGTTGTGATGAATGACCAAAGATATTCACACAGCAGTCCCTGCTTCATTGCCCTGCAACAATATGTTAAATTCAATTTTGAAGCTGTATTTAAAAAGCATTTAAACAGGTGTCCACAGAGCCAAGGAATCTCTTAAAGCCTTTGAGTCATTGTCTAGAAGCTCTGCTAGTAATAAAGCATGACCCCATCTGTCATTACCTGCAGCTCAGCACCTACAAACATGCTATCCAGTCTCATGTCACTGTACTTTCCATCTTGCACACCAAGCTCCACTTCACCATTCTTTCAATAACTTGAAATTACCAAGCTATTTCCTACATTAGTTCTTTTATCTTTTCTTCTGCCTAAGATGCTGTCAGTTGAATACAAAAATGAACGAATGATGAATAATTAAATTTATGAGTAACATCAAATTAATCATAATTTTACCCAAAAACAGCTACTCTTTTGGACTTTTATCTCCCAGGCACTCAAGTCATCCAGGATGCCTCATTTTTCCCCTACCTAGATATGTAATTAGTCACTATGCACATTAGATTCTCGCATGTGAAGTGTCTGTTCCTTGCTACCCATGTGAAGTGTCTGTTCCTTACCACCCTAGTCTCAGCTCATAACACTGGGTGTTTTATGCAGTAGTCTTGTCTTCTATTGCAACTGAACTTTTGCCAATGTAGTTGGCCCACTGTATCTGTGGGTTGTGTATCCATGGATTCAGGTAACCACAGATGGAAAATATATTTTTTAAAAAAGCATCTGCACTGAACATATACAGATTCTTATCATTATTGCCTAAATAATACAGCATAAGAACTATTTATATAGAATCTATATTGTATTAGGAATTATAAATAATTAAGAGATGAGTTTATAAATATGGGAAGATATGCATAGGTTATATGCAAATATTACAGTATTTCATATAAGGGACTTGCACCATCCACCAATTGGTATCTGTGAGGGTCTTGGAACAAAGCCCCCATGGATACCAAGGGACAACTGTACTTTTTTCATTTATTCTATTATTAATCATCTCTATTGAGTCTGACTTCATGCCAGGCACTATGGTAGGTGCTTTGGAGACAATGGTGGATAAGGCAGATATAGTCCCTAACTTGGTTTACTATTCAGCTAATGTATTTACACACTATCAACAGATTAATTTTCCTTAAATTCCTCTTTGCACAAGATGTCATCCTCTTCTACAGCTCCTAGCTATCTAGAGAAAATTGTTCAAAGTTCTTAGCCTATTTTCATTCTTGCAATTTCATTTCCATTGCCTTCCTATGTATCCCCTCCCTGCCAGCTAGCCTTTTCTACTTCTAAATGCACCACGCAATTTCCCGCCTTGGTATTTTTGCTTGAGCCATTCCTCCTACATGAAATGTCTTCCCCCTCACTTGTATTTATGTAAGGTCTTACTTTTATGAGGCTGATTACAGTCATCTTGCTATACAGATCCTCCTCTTCTGAAGCACTTTCTGTTTAGGTCTTTTGGAACTTTTAGTGCTCCAAAAAAATTCATGCCTCTTCCTCCAGGGCCAAAGGGGTCCTATCTCCCTTTGTCCCTCACGCCACAGCTTCCAGATCTTGTCTGAACACACCCATCTGCTTTCCAGTTTGAGAGAAGACAACTACTTCCCAAATAGACCCACCATATACCCTACACCCTGAGACCCTGCTTCCAGCATGCTTACTACCTGCCAATACCCCTCACCCGCCGCCACTCTCCCAGCTATCAATCTTTCATTCTTTCTTGTCAGGGAAAAAAATATATAATACTAAAGCAGACTTGACAATTTTGAAACTACTATTCTTTCTCAGACTGAGTTAAATTCCTGAGGTTGGGACATTGGCTGCTTGTTTCACTAGAAACAGTCTCTTATTTGGCTCTGTGTATTCTTTCGTGGTATTTAGCAGTATGATCACAGTCTTCCATAAAGTGGTAGTCTCTCTGCGCCTGTCTCATTGGCCCCAAGAACCTCAATATCTACTGAATCCTGTTGCCTTAGTAGGATGTCCTGACCACTTTTTCCTTAATAAACCCATCATGGGCATCCCTTTCTCAAGTTATGTGTTCTTGTCGGCTCCTGTTTAGCACCATCTGTTGCTATTATAATTTGAAGCTTATTTCTAGACTATTGGACCATAATCACTTAAATGATCTTGCTTTAGAGTCAGGATGATTGTTAAAGGGTGGTATTCCACCTGTGGGAATCCCATCCCCTCATTCTCAGTGTTTGCCTTAACTAAGCCCTGTTTTTGCCATTCCTTTTAGATACAATGACTTCCCTGCTGGAGTTCATTTTCCTTGACACTCCAAGCTGTGTCTCTCTGTTTGCCTTTCAATTTCTCTGGGATGTTTATTGTCTTGTGATAGCCTTCTTCCTGTGGGCTTAGGAGCAGCGGGTGGGGGAACAGAGTTCTCAAGGATCTAAATATCTCCTCCTTTACCTACCACAAGGATTTCTCTTCCTTTTCCTGTCCAACGGGCGCCACTCAATTCTAATATCCTCCTACTCAATGGATTTGTTAATTTTAATTCTGGTCAATCATGCCCTTTTCTTTCCTTATGAAACAGCCACGACCTAAACTTAATGAGGGAAATTTCAAAAGGAAGTACCAAACCAATTCCAAATAACAAGTGTTTCACAAACATTAATCTTATATAATAAGCTTCATTTTTCCTCTAGCAAGAGAAGTTACTAGCCAAGTCCCTTCATAGGTAGGGGTAGGAAATTACCTGGTAATCATTAATGGTGATCTTTCCTAGGAGTGGAGCTATAAGGAGAGGGCCCCCAATTGTCCTGGTCAGGGTCTGTGGTTGGAGATCAATCAGATGATAAAAATTGGAGCCAATATTGTCTCAGCTCTCTTGGGGACAACTTGTACCCTGGAGGTGGTTGTGTGTGTTCAGCACCAGAGCTGTCATCGTCTGGGTGAAGAGCCAGCATCACGCTAGGGACTGGCATGCTGGAAAAGGGCTCTTCTTCAGCACCCACTCTAATTGCCAGAGACAGGGAGTCTCCATCACTATCGTGTTCCTGTGATGGATCTTTCAGGATAGATGTCTTAGAAGGAATGATGTCTCACCTCCCCATGGCCTATCCCAACTGCTACCACATACCTGAGTGTCTTCTTGTCTTCAGCTAGAGAGAACCAGTCACTTAGACTCTCATCCTAGACCCCATGCAGTGGCATCATAGTACACAGTGATACTGATCTTTGTGACGTAAGTTGCTTTTTCTTTACATCTCTAAGGCTACAGAGAATTCAAGATTATATCACCTGAAGGTGCCATTAGGACAAATTATTCTTTGCAGATATATTTTATTATTCGATACCCAAGCATACCATAAGCATGCTATGCCTTCCTTGTGACTTCTCTTCCTGTCTTCACAGGTCTAAGACTAATAACATAGTTACTGCTCTTTGAGAAATCCAAGATGATTCAGCTTCCTGAACACATACTCACAGTCTACAAAGACCTGCTCACCCTGCCCATTCACTGCTGGGCATTATACTCACAAAGGCTTTGGTTTGAAATGAGCAGAGATAACTCGATAATTTTCTCAGTATTGCTGAGACTGTTCCATCCTATGTAATTATCTAGGAAAGTCAGAAAAAAATCAGGCCAAATGTTTCCTCAGGCTCCATTGCCAGTGCCCACCCAACACATTTTGTTTTATTTTCAGCTAAGGCAATTGTGGAGACAGATACTGGCATTCCAATTCTATGTGATATTTTTTTCAACCATTAGGCTTCTCTCTGACGCGGAAATCCAGGCTCCAGCAGAGGCCATGATGAAGAATGCAGAATGCGCAAGTTCTCATAGAGAAAATCTGTGCTTTAGGACGAGAGAGAAAGCAGATACATACCAAACCACATATCGTGGACTGGGAGCCAGCAATGTTAAGAAACAAAAACACAGTGATTGAGGCAAAGGAAATCAGAAGGAAAGCCTTACTCTTAAATAGATACGTATTTTTATTTGACAGTTTTTTTTTCTTGAGTCCATGCAGAATAACTGAAAAGATGACCAATCTGAAAACAACAGCGTTTATATATTTACAGGGAGTTGACCTGGGCTAAAACAAATACTAGATTTGTGAGCAAAACAAATCATTTTACCTCTCTGAGACTCCGGAAGAGTAACAGTACCAATCTAATGGTTAAAAAGACTAAATGAAGCAGTACATAAAGCTCCTAGAATACTGCCGGTACAAATAAGCACTAAATAAATGTTGTCCTTATCTCAGAGTTATTATGAGAATTAGGCAATTAAAGCACTTAGTATAGAGCCTAGGTCATAGTAAACGCCAATACGTGTTAGATAGCCAAAAAATATTAATCGATCAAATAACATAGGGGGAACTACAGTCCCGAAAACAAAGAAGCCCACTTATAACCCTTGCCATGCAGTCCAGGGTTCACAAAAACCTGGGTCTTACCAGACAGTTGCCCACCTGGCAGCTACATTACCCCTATTCATGCCTCTTCCTCAGCAAGTTTCTATGTCCAAATCCACATGACCCCACATATAGTCACAAGGACTTGGAAATATTAGCCTTTCCGCCTGTTTGTGTCTAAAACCAGGTAATAATTCATTTTTAGAAGGATAGTTGTAAAGAAGATTAACAGCATCTAGCTTGCAGTAGGGCATAGCTCACAGACCACCATTCTCCTTTGTTAAGAAAGACAGTGAAATCATTGGCTATGTGGTCTTGCCAACAAACCATACATGAAAAAATTGTCTTGAGGCATTCATTGTATTTGGATTTTTATACCAATACCATTGTATTTGGATTTCATATACCAATAGGGTATATGAAAACCTTCTCCGTTTTTTGTCTTGTAAGCTGGTTCCGAATAAACAAAATGTCTGTTTCTCTAGATACCCGGGGTTAACCCTTCAAAGCATCGTGATCACAGAGCATTTCAGCTCTCTCAAGTGTAGCTTCAGCTTTAACGGATCCTTCATGGCTTCCCCCAGGCAAGGGCTAGGAGGGAGAAAGGGGCTAACAAAGAGACGCTGGAGCTCTCCCGGAGAGAGCGAGCCTGGAAATCTGTATCTCCGCCGCGGCTTTTGGTGCCAACATGGAACCAATACAGCATTTCTCATTCCCTTTTGGGGGCAGTTGAAAATAGGCTGTGCCTCCCCAGCTTTGGGAGCTGGAGCCAGTGAGCCGAGCCGAGCCCCCCGGAGGATGCGCCAGCCTTACAGCGCGGATCAAGCGCCCCCGGAGCCCCGGCCTGGCGCATCTTTTTTTCAGGGAATTGGAATGGAGAATCCGGACGCCAGCAGCGGCCTGTAAACCACCCTTTGAGGCAAAATCCGCTAATCAGCAAGGTAAAGCGCTTAGAGAAAAGCGCTGCCATCAACACCACTGATAAAGTCCCCGGACCGGACTGTGGCGAGAGCCGAAGCTCCGCGCCTTCCACTCGCCGCCCGCCCCAGGGCCACCGGCTCGACATCGCCCACCCTGCGCCCTCGTTCCCAAGCCCCGGTCCCGCTCACCAGCCTCTCCATCCTCGCTCCTGGAGGCGCACGCGAGGTGGCTGACTGCGGCTGTGCGCCTGGAGCTCTGCTTGGGAGGCGGGAGGAGCGTCACCTGTGGCCCGCCGCACCTCCCGCCTCTTCCTCCTCTCTAGCCCCTCTTCCACTGGCTTTCCCCCACGCCCTCACAGGAGCGGAGGCTGAATTAAGTGGTTTATATTCAGCTTTGCCTATTTTCACACATTTTTCCCTTTTCAAAGGTGACCACTGGGGAAACTGAGAAAGTGTTTGGAAAAAAAAAAATTTTTTTTCCTGTTACCTGGACTGAGAAAGGAAATGAGGTGGGAGGTTGTGAGATCAATTGTTGAACTGTTAGCTCTTGATGTAATGGCAAAGGATTCAAGCTGAATTTAACCAATGGACTTTCTTTCTGTTTTTTTTTTAAAAGAAAAAACTTACATTCATTATTTTAAAATCCAGATTCAAATTATATATTTAAGCAATCAATTCCGTAATGATTTCACCTTTCGTGATGTGATCAATTCCTTGGTGAAGAGTTTCCTTCCACTTGCATTAATGATGAGGATTCTTTTTTATCTTCTCCTTCTCCTTCTCCTTCTCCTTCTCCTTCTCCTCCTCCTCCTCCTCCTCCTCCTCCTCCTTCTTCTTCTTCTCCTTCTTCTTCTTCTTCCAGAGTTCTTGGCTCTTGGAAAAAAAAAAAAGGACAAAGAAAGCATCAAATGTTCACCTTCTGAAGCCTTTTGTTTTACTACTACCACCCTCTCATAAGGAGCTGGTACAAAGCTTTGGGGTTTTGTTTTTGCTTCTTTTTACAGACAAAGTCTCGCTCTGTTGTCCAAGCTGGAATGCAGTGGTGTGCGATCATAACTCACTCCTGGGCTCAAGGGATCCTCTCACTTCAGCCTCTAAGGAGCTAGAATGATAGATGTGCAGCCACTATGCCCAGTTTTTTTTTTTTTTTTCTTCCAGACATGGGGTCTTGTGTTGCCCAGGCTGGCCTGAAATTCCTAGTCTCAGATGATCCTTCTGCCTCCACCTCCCAAAGCAGTGGGATTACAGGCATGAACCACTGCACCTGACCTATTCTCCTACTTCTAACACCATAGACTAGGCTCACCTGATTTTGAATTTTATATGAATGGCATCATAGCATATGTCTTCACTTGTGTCTGGGTTTTTTACTCAACAGTAGATTTTAAAAATCCATCCATGTTATTGCCTGTAGTGTGGCTTATTCATTCTCATTGATGTATAGCATCTTATTCTATAAATACTGTATATTACAATTTATTTATCTATTCTTCTATTAATGAACATTTCTTTGTTTTTCAAATTGGAGGCATTTTTCACAGTGGTGCTATAAACATTCTTATACATGTCTTTTCATAAGCATATGTATATCATTCTATTACATGTATTTTTCCCATATATTTTCCTATCACTTTATTTTTAACCTTCCTCTATTAGAGAAATATTAACTGCACACTTGGAAAAAAATTTCTCCCACCTTGGTCTCCCAAAGTACTGGGATTACAGGTGTGAGTCACTGCCCCCAGACTTAACCTATTTGTGTGTTGTAATTATTGATATAATAGGACTTTTAAATTGTTTATATTTCATTTTAGTATATTTTCTTCTGTCTTATCTTTCATTAGGCTAAATATTCTTTTGCTACATTAAGAGTTATATTTTATTATTCTGCTGTTTTCTTCTAACTTACTAAGGACAATACATATGTATTTTTTAAGTCAATTTCTTAAATTTCCCAACACGTATACCTTAGCATAATTCTCCTCACCTCTCATAATCTTATTTTCTAATTTTTTAAAATAAAATCTTACATTTATTATTTTAAAATCCAGATTCAAATTATGTAGTTAAGCAATCAATTTCATAACGGTTGAGGACAGGAGTTCAAGATCATACTGGGCAACATAGTGAGACCCCTGTCTCTACCAAAAAATAAAAATAAATTACCTGGACATGGCGACACATGCCTGTAGTCTCAGCTAATCAGGAGGCTGAGATGGGAGGATTGCTTAAGCTCAGGAGGTTGGGGCTGAAGTGAGCCATGATCAAGACACTGCACTCTAGCCTGGGTGATGCAGTGAAATCCTATTTCAAAAAAAAAAAAAAAAAAAAAAAAGCTTAAAAACAACATTTTTAGGTTAAAAGAGACTTGGGACACAGAAAGGTGAACAAAAGGGGAAAAACTCCCAGCCATAATGAAGCATAAACATTGTATTAAAGAAATTTGCTTACATAATTTAAAATTATTGGACAGATTTAAAGGAGCACTTAGAATTAATGTATCACCTTAACTATACCAGATGTCAATATTGAGTAAAAGAAGCAAACAAGGAACTCAACAAAATGAGAAGGAGAATATAATAAAACTAAAGGCAGAAATCAATAAAAAGGAACACAAATAGAATACATATAAATTTTTTTCTAGAGATTAATTGATCAACCTGGTGGCATGTAACACTCAGAAAATTATTTCTGTAATGCAGAGTAACAATATAGAATGAAAAGGGAAAACTAATACTGATGCAACAAATAGCAAAAATAACAAAACAATATTGTGAACAGTCATATGAAAACTTATACAAAATGAATAAATTTCTGAAAGTGGCAAATTGGCCACAAAACTTTAAAAATTAAATGGGCCAATAACTTAGTAAGCAAGTAAATCCAAATCAAAGACTTGCTTTGCAAAATAAATAAATAAATAAATAAATAAATAAATATATAACAGACCTGCAGGATTGCTGAGGAATAGATCTGTCTTATTCATGTCCAAAAGGGAGAACTATAAAATTACTGAGATCTTTCTTTGAAGCTAGAGTTATTTTAATTTTAAAGCCAGGAAAGGATAATACAAGAAAATAAAATTATAGCCTTCTTTTACTTATAAATATAAAGCAGAACAATTTCCAAAATGGCTTAACATTAGAAAACTGTCAATATAATTTATCATGTTAGTACATTGCTATGAAAAATTCATGATTATCTCAACAAGTACCAATAAATTATTTCTTAAGTTCAACAACATATTTATCATAAAATCAAAGAAGATAGGAATAAGAAAATATTTCCTAACCTTGATAATATGCTTAGCGGTCAAACTGCAGCAAATATCATATTTAACTGTAAGGAAATTTTAGACATGGTCTTTTAAATCGGAAACAAAGAAAAAGATAACTGTTATTGCAGGTATTAAATATAAAAAGAGGTGTTGATTGGAAAGAAAGAAGCAAAACTGTCATTAGTTGTAAGAAAGATAATCAACTTCATGAAAAACAATCAAAATCAACAGAAAAACTTAAATACAGAGTTTAGCACAGTTTCCAAATATTGGTTAACTTAAAAAATCTGAAAATGTTCCTAAACAACTAATAACCGGCTAGAAATGTTTTTAAATATCATTAATTATAGTGAACAATTTAAAAGTACCTAAGAATTAACCTAGCAAGAATTGCACCTACATTGAGAAAATTGTAAAACCTTCCTAAAAGACATTTAGAAAGACTTGAATAAATGGATAATATATTTATGGCTGAAGGAAATTTCACTATAAAGACATCAGTGCCCCAAACTCAAACTTATTAATAATTTATAGTTTGACTTAACATTGTTAAATCCATCCACTTTTTATCCATAAAAAGTGGACTTTTGGTTTTCCCTTAAAGACTTCTGTTCTCCTAATGGTATAACTGAAAAATGTAACAGACTGATGCCAAACAGGGAGAAGTAATCAATATCTAGTATGTAAAGAATTTAAGATATAAAAAATTTCTGGCCGGGTGCAGAGGCTCACCCCTGTAATTCCAGCACTTTGGGAGGCCGAGGCAGAAGATCATTTGAGGTCAGGAGTTTGAAAGCAGCTTAGCCAACGTGGTGAAACCCCATCTCTACTAAAAATACAAAAAATTGTCAGGGCGCAGTGGCTCACGCCTGTAATCCCAGCACTTTGGGAGGCCGAGGCAGGTAGATCACCTGAGGTCAGGAGTTTGAGACCAGCCTGGAAACATGACATAACCCCTTCTCTACTAAAAAATAACAAAAATTAGCTGGGCGTGGTGGCGGGTGCCTGTAATACTAGCGACCTGGGAAGCTGAGGCAGGAGAATCACTTGAACCCAGGAGGCAGAGGTTGCAGTGAGCCAAGATCACACCTTTGCACTCCAGCCTGGGCAACAAGAGTGAAACTCCATCTCAAAAAAAAAAGAAAATGCAAAAAATTAGCCAGTCGTGGTGGTGGGCGCCTGTAATCCCAGCTACTTAGGAGGCTGAGACAGGAGAATCGCTTGAGCCCCAGCAGCGGAGGTTGCCGTGAGCAGAGATCGTGCCATTGCACTTCAGCTCTGGGTGACAGAGCGAGACTCTGTCTCAAAAAAAAAAAAAAAAAAAAAAAAAAAAAAAAAAAAAAAAAAAAAAAATTTGCAGATATAAACAGTCAACCAGACACTACTTGAAAATGTAGACAAGAACCTTACAGAAGGGGAAACTTGAATGGCTAACAAATATATGAATACATACTCATACTTATTAATAACCTGAAAAAATGCAAATCAAAACAGTCATTCAATTGGTGATGTTAGGAGGGGATCTGAATCAGGGAATGAACAGAAATATTCAAAGACATTAATATTAATATAACCTCATTGGAAACCAGTAATTCATGAAATTGGATTATATATTTAACCAAATCATTGTTTTCATTTATTTCTAAAATAATTGTTGCTACCAAATGCATGTTTTAATTTGGAAGGTTAAATCTTAAATTTGAAGTGTACAAAATAACAGTAACAAATTCACAAACCTGCCAGTTACCTGTATGTGAGAAGAGAATGGCTCTTACATTCTCCATGTGAGGCTGTCTCAAATGAGGTATTGGTTCACACATATTCTGTGACCTAGAGATATAGCGACATTAATGTACCCATAAGAGGAATACAGCCCAAACACTCCCCCTCATGGCAGTCCATTGTAAGAATATGCTATGAGTAAAAAATTTGGAGATTCAGATTCAAATTCTCTTGAGATTGACCAAAGTATATTTTCAAATGCTTCGTTGGGCATGAAAATACTCAAATTACAGAACTTGCATATTATTTCCACTCTATAATAGTGAGAGTCATAACTTATGACTTGTCCCCTTGGAGAGTCTATTCATTATACTCTAAAACTTAAACCACTGGTCCTTATGTGTTCCATATATTTCAGATTCATATATAGAGATAATTAACCTA